ATGAAAATAAAACACAAAGAAACGATCGAACACCGAAAAGATAATTATAATAAAAAAAGTTATAAAAAAAAAACTCCTAGTACAACTGATAGAAACATATAAAAAATTTCAACATTAGGCCGGCAAATAGATTTTTAGATTCTCGACATTCAAAAAATTTATTTATAGTACCACGCGATTAACACATGAGCGTAAAAGAATTTGTCAAGCTTTATTTAATTACCTGCGCTTAAAAAATATCATTATAATCTATGTAAATTATTTTTTACGAATAAGTTGTTTTCAAGCCAGGTAATCGGCTTCTGAATAGCATCCTCAAAGTTTCTTTGATTAAGGATAAATTCAATAATTTAGTATATCGATATTATAAAAAAATTAAAACTTACTTGAAGTGTATTAGTAAGTTATATGGCTAATCCATTTCGGGCCTAATATATTGTGCAACCTTCTCATAATCACTCTTGGCTATGATTAATTTAAGTATGAATATAATATAATTTTGAATTTGAAACAGTAATCTATTATAATAATAATGACAGTATCGATTTGCAGGGTACTCTTTTTGGTGCTGGAGCAATTCAAAACAGCCGAAAACTTTTAGTAAATACATCACTTGAATCTTTACGGAAGTGTCACAAAATAATTTTGCAGCATGACCTTGTCATGGTTGATTGACTTGTTTAGTTCTTTACCATTAAAGAATTCAGATACCATCTTTTGAATCTTGAAAATACGTGTTGAACCACCAATCTAAAACTGACTTTTGTCGATTTTAGAATTTCGGAGTAATTTTTCAATTGTTTATCGTAAATCGAAACAAGTCTTAATTCAATTCTTCAACATTGGTCCGTCTTAAATAAGTATAGAAATTGATATCCTCGAAAAAAGAATCCATTTAAATGGAAGTTCTTTTGATGTTGAAAGTGTACATTTTGTGCGTTCACATGCAGTTTTTAATCAAAGGAGAGAACATGCATTCGTTGTAAAATCTTTCTTAAAACTAGATTTTGAATGTACAGTACTTAGTATCCTTAATGAGGCAACCGCAGCAACTATTGTTTATGATTTGGACAAGAAAGCACTTGGTGAGCTAAATGTTCTTATATTTAATCTTGGTGGTGCTTCTTTTAATGTCACCCAATTAACTATTGAAGAAGAAATTTACGAAGTAAAGGTGACACGCAGCTTAGAAGTGAAAGCCAAACCAGCGATTAAATAGGCATCTTTTATAGCAAGACGTTGAGAGCCACTAAAGAAATCGGCATTGTTCCAAGAAAAGCACCTTCAACTATATCAATACCATGAAAGAAATTTTTAGGTGAAAATCTTCTTTTCATCTTTGTATTCGAGCTGAATATAAATAAGCTTTCAATTCTTTCCTATGATTTTGAATGAAGGAATTAATTTATATATATATTTTTTTCTCGCAGATGAAAAAAAAAAATTTTGAAGTTTTGTTCCAAAAATTATTATCCTAACCTAAAACGAGAATATAAAAGATAATAAATTGAGCGATTCAACGATTTTGCCAAAAATCGCCTTTTATTTTCCTTGAATTCTCTACGTTTACGTTGGTTTCAGGTTATTATATTACTTTTTTTTGGTTTTTTTTTTATAGTTTCATTTCAGACGCAGATAGAATGATGCGACAAAAATTCTTACGCTTTCTCTTTTCTTTTCTTTAAGAATTCCTCCGGATTGGATCCCATAAAAAGGTGAATTTTTGATTATTTTTATATTATTTAACTAGATTCATCATCATGGTCGGCCAATGGCCGGCCTTAATATTTGAAAGCAACATATATATTTTATTTAATATTTATAAAATATCATTATTTAATTTGCTGGAATAAATATTGCATATGTATAGATTATGATGATTTATTAAATTGGAAGTGGTTTTGATGTTTTTTGTTTAGATGAGAATATTCTTTAATTACAAATTAATTTTATCTAAATTTATTATTTCAAATTTTGGACACTGTTTTCGAACGGAACGGACCGGTTCGTCACTGCGGCGAAGGCAAGCCGTCGATTTTTTTTTTTTAGTTTATTTTTATTACAAGTATTTGTTGTTAATAATGCTAAACACGCACATATTGATTCGAACTTTTTTCATTAATGGTTCACAGTGGATCCGATTATTTGTTTTTTGATTCATTGAAAAATGGAAAGAATAGATTACATAATTGCTACACATGCCATCGAGAAAGTTCATATTAAAAGTCATAAAACATATTGTATATTTATGTGAGTCTTATTCAAAATTCTTGATTAAACCATTAATGATCCTCTTTGAGCTAAATAATTTTTTTTTTTTTTAATGATCTGATCTTATTAAGATTTCAAAACAAGAAATTTCTCTATTATACCTGTATAATTCAATTATATATCAGAAAGATTATTCAAATCAATATTTTAATATATTACGGGTGAGTCAGGTTAATAGAATGGGCGGCAAAAAAAATTTTTAGATTCTCGTGACATAAAATTTTAAATTTGACACGGCCACCCGGTTTTTATATTTATATATATGTATTATATATTTACGTAAATAAAATTAAAATTTTTAAATCAATCTGTAAAATCTCTTATAATCTCTCATTTAAAATATGCAAATAATAATTGTACATGTTGAGACAAATTCTAAAATTGGAAGGGCTTCCTATTATTAATATAGAAGATCTAAAAATGTAATAGTTTATCAATTAAAAACCAAAACTATGGGAAATATTTGTTGCATATTTTAGCCATGCAAAATGGACAAAATGGAAAATTAGGATTGGAAAACAATGCATGGCAAACTATTAAACATTTAAATTATTCAGCGACTCTAATGATATACCAGCTTTAATGCTTCATTATCTGTCAGAATTTAAAAACTTGCAAAGAAATACTTGGGAACAGATTTATTGATAAGAATTTAACAGTTTCAAACGTGGTAAGGATACCAAGTTTCGAGTAACGAAAAAATCGTGAAATTCATGAAATTATTATACTACAATTTTTTATTATATAAAGTCACGTGATTAAATATTTCATTTTTCAGTTTCATTTCATTTCCTAATTTTGTTTTTTATTTCATTTTCTAATTTTGTTTTATACTTTCTTTTCATTTGTTTAATTTCATTTTTTTTATTTTGTTTCATTTTTTTTATTTTGTTTCATTTTCTTAATTTTGTTTTATAATTTCTTTTCATTTATTTAATTTTATTTTTTCGTTTCGTCTCATTCACTTAATTTCATTTTATAGTTTTGTTTTGGTTTCTTAATTTTATTTTTTCATCTCGTTTAGTTTTTTCTTCATTTCATTTTTATTTTTTATTTTATTTTATTTTTATTTTATTTTTATTTATTTTAAAAAAATAAATTTTTTTAAAAAAAAATTTAAGCAAATTAATAAAACTGTCATTCAATGATTGATAACGTGAAAATATTTCTAGAAATAGTAAAATTATATTTGTATAATGAAATCAGTAATCATCTACTATAACGAATTATTCGTTATATATTTTGCATAATTCATAATAGCATTAACAAAGATTCTTATAATGAAGTTCTAATCAGCTAGATTGGCAACTTCGTTATATCAAGATATGACTGTATGTATGATTTGTAAAACAAATACTGTGTATCATATCACAAAATATTAAGAATATTAATGTAATACCCCTTGATAAAGTTGGTGATACAATGTTACAGATCATAACATGACATATTAAAATATGATATAAGCAAGAGAAAAAAATTCTCATGCATTCAAATACCTTTTATTGCAATAACTTAAAGTTCAGTTAAACAATAATTAAAAATGTTATCTATAGTTATTAATGAAGAAGATATTATTTATAAAGAAGACTTAAATATGGAGGTACTTTATTATTATCATATTTACTTTATAGATATATATGAAATAGTAAAAAATATTAGTTGATTTAATAAATAAGACAACGCTTGATTTGGAAGAAGACACTGAAATATATATTACAAAACAAATAACCATTAAAACTGTATTGCATTTATTAACTCCTATTGAATATCTACCAATAAGCAAAGATGAAGTTGTGATAGTTTATTATGTTAAAAGATGACAAGATGTAAATGCAGCATTTGCAGATGTAAGTATTAAATAAAATAATATAATTTTAAATGATTATTACTAATATTTTTTTTTTTAAGATTTAGTATCCTATGGGTGAACCTTATGAATAAAATTTGACAACCTATAGTTATCTTGGTAATGTTGCCATAATTAAAAAGGATAGAACATGTCATGAACTTAAAATATGTGAATTTGCAAGTCCAAAACTTCAGGAAATAGAACAAGAGTCTGTAGATTCTGATTCTGATTTATGCCTAAAAGTGAATGAGGAATTATTAAGTAATAATATAGAAAATAATACTTTTGCGTAAATATATTTAAATTAATTTAAAATTGTGTAACTTGTATTGTATTAATGCATTTAACTGGCTAAAATTTTTTATTTAGTATATATTTTTCAGCAATTTAAACTAAATGTCGCTATAAAAAGGATAACATAAAATGCACTAGAAGGCCTGTATTAAAATGTCTAAAGTGTTATGATGAAACAATACCACTATCTTATTTTATTAGTTGTGATAGATGGAATTTCAATGAAAAGTTTTACTGGTATATAAGTATTAAAGAAAATAATGACCTTAATTTACTTCAACAACTTTTAAGTGGATTATATGAGGTTTAATTTTTATCTTTCTAATATATTTTGTACTCATAAATTTATTAACTTCAGTTAAAATATAATTTATTTTAGGGTAAAACAGACAAATTAGTAAATAACTGTTTTATAGTATTAAGTAATAACTCTAAGAAAAAACTTTGTTTTAAGTTATTATTAAATTCAGTTACTAGTTATCACACTTTTAAAGTTATTAATTAATTCTCTATATATAATTTTATTTTTTTAATAGCTCATCCTCATTGTGAGAGAAATACTATTAAACGTGGATCAATTATTCAAAAATCTTGTAATGTTAAATTTTCTAAATTAATTCCTATTAATTTAGAAAAATGCCCATTTGTAATTTTAATATCTCAAGGTGTTCATTCTCATCCACCACCATTGCCCAATCATGTACTAATTTCTATTCGTATTTGTTTATAAGAACTAATTCAACAAGCAGATGTAATACTATAAATATTACACCAACTCATATATTAACTGGTAATTGATGATATAAATACAATTTTTAAAGTTAGTACAAATATTTATAATGAATAATGACAA